AGGTCTGGGCAGACAGGCAGGAACACACAGATGAGAACCCTTTGCAACTACTCAGAACCATGTCCATACAACCATTGTGTACCGTTCTTGAAACCAGTCTTTTCTCTTAAGTACCTTCAATAGAATGCTGCACTTACCACCAATCTGTTTGGGAAGTAACTCTCACTGTCAGTTAGAGGTAAACGGACTTTTCATAAAAGTCACACATAGTTCTCATAAGATGCTTCATTATAAAACAACTCCCTGGTGGTGAAGGAGTTAGGGATTGAATTCATAACTGCAAAATCAGTGGTTCAAACCCACCAGCTACTCTTCAAAAGAAAATTAGGCTATCTGCTCCTGTCAAGATGTCCAATCTTGGAAACCCTGCGAACAGAGGGCTGAGAGGCATTGATGGGGTGTGATCCTGTAAGCATGGTCAGCGGTTCAAACCCACATGGGGCTCTGGGGGGGGAGGAGCTGAGGCTGTCTGCTCCCATAAAGATTTACAACCTTGGAAACCTCAACTAGCATCTCTGAGTCAGAACCAGCTTGTTGGCAGTGGGGTATAAACTGATATCGGTGAGGTTTTATTGTATAAGGATTAATCTTATAACCCACTTACAACCCACTGCCATCCAGTCATTCCTGACTCGGAGCGTTCCTGGAGGAGAGAGCAGAGCTGCCCTTGGGGGTTTCCCACACTTGAAATCTTCACAAGAGCAGACGGTCCGATTCCTCACTCACTCCTCAGCCCTATCTAAAACAGTGCAGATGTGCACGCACGGAGGAGTGCCGGCGCGCACACACACACACTTCTCCCTGTTGTTTTTTTCTCCTCTCACCCTGTTTATTTCTCTTTTTAGTACTTGTCACCATGCAACATACTATATATGTGATTATTTATTGCATCTTTCTTCTACATGGCTCTGGTGCCTGGTACGGGCATAGCAAGTGCTAGAAAGGATATGCTGAAGGGATAAACGAATTATGAATTATTTTGTTGAAGATAATTCAGTGACCCTGAAAATTATTATTTACAGGTCACACAGCTTCCTCTCCCTAAGAGGTCAGCCTCCGATGAGCTCCAACAAGAGCATCGTGCGGAGGGCGCAGGTTGTACACAGGGCCCTTCTGTGTCAGCGGAGCCAAAGTGACAGCGCGTGACAACCAAGCCCCCACGGAGAAAACAGAATCACCAAGAGTCACCGGACCACTAAGTCGTACAGTGAAAATTCAAAGGAACCCTTTGCTCTTAACCACAGCTGACCTCCTGCCCCCACTTTTTCTTACGTAAGAACTTGGGAAAGTGCCTTCGAGGTAATTGCTCGGCGGTCACCTTCCTTCTTCCTCTTAAGATGACAAAAATCATGATTTCTGTTCAGATGGTTTCCACTTGGACTCTGCATCTGTGCTGAGGGTGCGTGTGTGCGAGTACACGCGCCACGAACGTTTCGCCAGCACGAACACTCCTAGATGGAGGTGGTGGTGGGGGGGACTACTAGAAATGCACACTCTTGGAAGATTATGGGCATTCTATATCATTTTCATCTCTACAAGTTCGATTTGGATCTCTTTTTAGAAAAAGATCTTCCCTGTAGTTCCTTGACAAGTTTCCTCTCGCTACTGTCACACACGCAAGCATTCTGCTCCTGTCCTGGGTCCACGGGACGGAGCTATAATAACTGCTTTACTAGAACTGCCGTTTGTGCCATTTCCAGACCACTTTCTACTGAGGGCTTTTTGTCTTTCTGAGGACTCTTTCTCCATGAATTATTAGGGGTTCCACGTGGCTGATGGGACATAAACTACTTCCCGTTGGGTGAGCGGCAAGGATTCTTCCGTCACCTCTCTCTGCCCTGCTGTAGGTAATTTCCTCACACTGGTCACTTCCACATACTGCTCAGTACGCAGCTCTCGTCGAATGCCCTGTGTGTGACTCTCTCCACTATTTTAGTTACCTTGGCCTCTATAGACTCACACCTGCATCTCCCCAACTTTGAGAGGTCAAGATCCACTCAGGTTCTTTTTCTCTCCACTGCAGCTTAGAAACTCTCTCTAGGAGGTAGCGTGAGCTATGAGGCTTTCTGCCTTCAGGGATCACCATCCTGTGTTGTGTTGTTGATGTCCAATAGCTGAAAACTACTGCTACATGTATTTTGTCTCGTTTTTCAATTGTATTAGGTAAGTCTGATTACTATTAATTCCTTCTGGCCATAAGCAGAACATGCAAATTATGGACCATCTTGAGCCTGCAGAGGCTAAGTCCTTTGCCCAAAGTCATCCATGATTAATCATTACAGCTGGGAATTCTCTTATTTTAAAGTCATTTTATCAGGGGCTCGTACAACTTTTATCACAATCCATACAAACATCCATCGTGTCAAGCACATTTGTACATTTGTTGCCATCATTCTCAAGAGCAGGGAATTCTAATGCACAGCTTTTTCCCTCTAGAATCTCAGGTTTCAGCCACAATGTTCCAGATCGCTCTACAAAAGGGTTCCCCTCCTCCGTAGCATTAACCCCAGGTTGGGACCTATAACTGAGGTAAACAAGTCCCATGCCAGCAGGCTGACAAGACAGGTGCAGTATTTAATTCCTGGCTCCTGAAAATGAGTCTACTTTAGGAACTCAAGTAGATGATGTCAGGGCCAGATGCCAAAGGACCAGGGTCCCAGCCTCAATTTTTGAACCTCAAGTCTACTGTCCACTTCTCAAGGGCATTTTGAAGAAGAGAATAGAATAACAGATGCAAAGAATTATTAGCCTTTGTTTCATGGTCAGTCCTCATTACGTGATAGCAACTGTCTGTCTACAAAGGGAATTCTCATTCTATAGCCCTCGGGAGAATCCTTTCCTTTTTGACAGGTCAGATAAAATATTAGATCATGTTTCTCGCATGACCAAGAGGGCCTCATTCAGTCTAGATGGTTGGTTGGATGACAGTACAGTAAGGAAGAACAGTCCACCCACTCCCAGCACTCCAGGAAAGACTTGACTGACGTGTCCTGAACTGGACCTGTGTGAAAGGCCCTCAACCATTCAGCTGTGGGACGCTCAGGCACTGCTGACAGTCCTGGGCCATCAGAGCAGAGTGAAAGTGCCTATTTGTGCAACCAATGCCCATGACAGCCAGAAAGCCTACAGGCAGGGTCCTGATGCTGGTAGAAAAATCCTTCACCCCCTCCTTACACTTCCAAGTAAGGGAAACATTTCCACACGGAGCAGCAAGTAGGTCCTCAGAAGTCAAATCCTTTGTAGAAAAACCAAGTGGAAAATCTGCGGCCAAATGTACCAACATTGCAGGAACATATAGAGCTTACTCTAGGGTGGGCTTACTATTGTTTTTCTCTGACCCAGTTTGACCCAGTCTAAGGGTCCTGTAGAAAGCTCTGGTGGTGCAGTCATTAAGGGTTCAGCTGCGATCTCTCTCTAATCAAGAGCCAGGTGGTTTGAACCATCAGCTAGGCAAGACCTGGTAAAAAGTCGTGTTCTGTCCCATAAGGTTGCTGTGAGTCAAATGCACTCAACTGCAATTGGTCTGGTTTGGGGTCTGTATTGTTTAGTTGGTGATGTTGAGTCCCAGCTACGGATGAGGAAGTACAATGCTGAACATAGTGGGGCATTAGCAGGGGCAGATTACCCAATAAGCAAGGTAAACAAGGGCTGACTTGTGCTTACTTCCTAATCTGTAGTGAACGATTGCACATGAGTCTCAAAGATGTGCTGACAAACATGTGAAACTGTTTATATATTTAATTATATAGCTGAAGAAAACACATCAGTGACAAGGGACATTGGTCAGCAATGGAACCTTGGAAAAAATATGGCATCAGAAGCAATGTGGGCAGAACAAGCAAAACTCTATGTGGACTCTGAATTTGACCCCAGTGAACAGAAAAGCCCACCGACAAGCATGACTTTCCCAATGGACTGTCCAGACAAGGAAAAGGAACTTTGTTAATCATTGTGCTGTAACAGAAATTCAGGACCGGCCCAGCCCAATCTTCAATCACTCATTCGGATTGATTGCCTTCACACCAAATGTGCCTGAAGCTAAAATACAGATTTTTAAATGTACAAGCATTACTAAACACTGAGGTTCGTACTACAGTTGATATGGGTCTTAATAATGGGCTCTCCCTTACATCTGCTCTCCCAGAACCTGTTATTAATTTAATGGGGCAGTACATGATTAACAGCATCTTCCAGACAAGAATATAGAATAAGTTGGCTTCCTATTTCAGAGTGGCTTAATGCATTGATCAGAGCCTAGGAAAGGCCTTCCACTAGACAATGATTTCCACTGGAAAATCACAAGTAGGCATTCATTCAGATTTTATATAGTCCTTTCTGTGTATCATTGGTTAGGTCAGTATTCAAAGACTTAGTCTCTGAGTGCCAAGGCTGAAGTCCAGCGCCCGCACTAGGACGAATATCCCAAAGTCTCTCTAGAGCACGGGGACCCGTCTGAGAAATCCCCGGCCTTCTCACCCTTAGTTTCACCATAGTCACCACTATGTTACTTCCCCCATTTGAAACTACTTGAGGCAGTAAGATAAGGCTTCTGGTTTAGATCTGTTGGGTTTGAAAGGCCAGTAAGATACAAAAGTGGGGATAGAGGCTGGAAATGGAGCTTGATGGAGATGCATATGGGCCACGCACAATCAGAAGAAGAAACGACTTGGGTTGTGTCCGAAATAGCCACAGTTCAGATAATCCAAAAAGAGGTAGGACATGACTGTAAATCTACTACAGAAATGTTAAGAGTATAAGTAGTTTTTACCATTTGGGCTAAATTGGCTAGTATTGGCTGGATGTTTGTAGTTTGTCTTGAATGAAGTACTGTTACTGAATAGCCACACCCAGTATTGACTCCATAGGTGTATGGAGTACATGGAATTATAGCACAATTACATTGGCAGTGTTGTTATCTGTTATTTAAAATGTATTTATTCCACAAAATACACAACAGTAAGGTCACAGGGAAACGAGAAAAGCAGTTGAAAGCAACTTACTTATTTTGTCCAATTGTCTCAAAATCTTTCACGATAATCCCCAGGGAAGATGAAATGTCCAGCGGCACACCCCTCAAGTCAAACTCCAAAATCTGTTTGAATAAAAGGAAAACAAAAAGGTTGTTAAGAGACTGGGGACACAAAGATGCGCCAACTGGGCGAGTCAGATCAGCATCTGTACCCATGACCACCTTGGCAATTACTCAGTTCAACAGTCAGCTCCGGGCTCGTGTGGGGTAGGAGGTGGGCTGTGAGCAACAAGAGGTTGGTGGTTCTCAGAAGAGAAAGAGTCCATAAACATTTATAGTTTTAGAAACCCTATATAAGGTTGCTAGAAATAGGCTCAACGGCAATGGATTTAGTTTGGGCGTCAGACTATAAAACTCAATGTTATCAACTAGATTCCGTATAGTGATTCCTTAGATAGAGCCCCTATAGAGCAGTGGTTCTCAACCTTCCTAATGGCGTGACCCTTTAATACAGTTCCTCATATTGTGGTGACCCATTAACCATAACATTTTTTTCGTTGCTACTTCATCAGCCTGTCTGACCATGAGGTGCAGAAAGGACCAGTTATCAGACATCAAAGAACTAAAAATCAGATCAGTGGGTGCCCACCTTCCTGATATGATCACTGAAAA